CCTAAAGCGGTCCTGGCTTCAAGTTGGCCATGCCCAACAGGCAAACAGGTTCATCAACAATATTGAGAAAATTAAAAGGCAGACTGCTCTGATTTAAAATCAGGAAGACACATGCCTACTTTAAAAGTACTCCCTTACAGAAAGAACAGCAGGAATTTGTAACTCTTTTTGGGAATGCTCTAGATATAGAAAGCTATAGAAATAACAGTGGATATAGGAAGGTTTTTGGTACACTTGCCTTTATTGGTGAGTACATTGAGTTTAGGAGTTGGGAGGGTCATGTTGCGGCTGTGCAGGACATTGGTTTGGGCCACTTTTGGAATACTGTGTGCAATTCTAGCCTCCCTGCTGTAGGAAGGATGTTGTGAAACTTGAAAGGGTTCAGAAAAGATTTACAAGGATGCTGCTGGGGTTGGAGGGTTTGAACCACAGGGAGGGACTGAATAGGCTGGGGCTATTTTCCCTGGAGCTTCGGAGTCTGAGGGGTGATCTTATAGAGGTTTATAAAGTCATGAGGGGCATGGATAGGGTGAATAGCCAAGGTCTTTTCCCCAGGGTAGGGGAGTCCAGAAGTAGAGGGCATAGTTTTAAGGTGAGAGGGGAAAGATTTAAAAGGGACCTGAGGGGCAACTTTTTCACACAGAGGGTGGTGTGTGTATGGAATGAGCTGCCAGAGGAAGTGGTGGAGGCTGGTACAATTACAACATTTAAAAGGCATCAGGATGGGTATATGAATAGGAAGGGTTTAGAGGGCTATGGGCCAAATGCTGGCAAATGGGACTGGATTAATTTAGGATATCTGTTCGAGAGGGGTCGGTTGGACTGAAGGGTCTGTTTCTGTACTGTATGACTGTACCGTTGATTCAAAGCTTCCAAGAGTGAGGTGGCTGGATTTTGATGAATATCAAAGTAACGTATAGCGCAGACAGATTAAAGGAGCTGAGATACAGACCAGCCTCTGTCTTTGTGAATGGCTGTGCAGCACAAGAGGGGCTGAATGGCCTCCTCCTGCTCGCATTATCCAAGCCAACAGGAATCAGACATTATCTTGCGTCTGAATTAAAGTAGAAAGGTCAGAATGTGAATAAGTAATCAAACAAAAACTCAGCACTGGGGAAGGGTCACTCGACCTGAAAAGTTAACTCTGATTTCTCTCCATAGATGCTTCCAGACTGACCAAGCCTTTCCAGCAGCTCCAGTTTTTGTTTCTGATCTCCAGCATCCACACTTCTTTTGGTTTTGTATTTTAATCATTAGCTGGGAAGCTCCGAGCTGATTGACAGCGAGTTTAACTGCAGGCTATTATTTGTAGCTATTACGAGGGGTCATAGTTTTAAAGTGAGTGGAGGTAGATATAGGGGAGACGTCAGAGGTAGGTTCTTTACTCAGAGTGTGGTCGGGGCGTGGAATGCATTGCCAGAGAGGGTATGGAGTTGGCCTCATTAGGGGCATTTAAGCGGCTATTAGATAGGCATATGGATGATAGTATAAGGTAGGGGTGGAGGTGAGATAGACCTTAGGATTAGGGTAAAAGTTCAGCACAATGTCGTGGGCCGAAGGGCCTGTACTGTGCTGTACTATTCTATGTTCTAGGCTCTCCCAGCCTATAATTACTGTCGTTCTGGGTGAAATTAGTTTCTGATTAATTATTGCTGCAATGACAGTGTTTGGTGAACACACCCTCTTGTGTAACCAGTTTTTATTTTGTTTTCAGGAATTCCCCGTCTGTCAACATATTTTGATGACGGGACAGCAGGAACCAGTCAGTTATAGTTCAGCGTAAGAGGTTAATCTAAGGACGTTCTGTGAATATTTCAAGTTAAGAGACTGTCAAAGGCTTGAACGCATCAACGAAATCAACAGCTTCATTTAAAGTCACTTTTATTAACTTATTCTTTTCCAGATAACATTTCAATCAAACTCCAAAGCTCAAGTGGCCATTTTGCAGTCGGGTGCTCAGATTCTGTGAATTATTATAGCTATCCAGGTGTAATGGTTTGGTCTCTGCTCTGGTCCACCCCATTTCGTCTCCTGCAGTGACTATCACCCTCACCCTCACCATTAGAATATGTACAGTGATCACAGAAACAGCAGATACATGGGAACACCAGCCCCCTGCAAGTTCCCCTCTGAATCACTCACCATCCTGACTTGGAAATATATCACCGTTCCTTCAGTGTCTCCTTTTCCAACAGGACATGGGTGTCTCTGGCTGGGCCCAGCATTTATTCCCCCATCCCTAGTTGTTCCCCCCCACCCCAGAGAAGGTGGGAGTGAGCTGCCTTCTTGAACCACTGCAGTCCATGTGCTGTGGGTTGACCCACAATGTCCCTTAGGGAGGGAATTCCAGGATTCTGACCCAGTGACACTGAAGGAACGGGGATATATTTCCGAGTCAGGATGGGGAGGGGCTCAGAGGGGAACTTGCAGGGAGTGGCATTCCCATGTATCTGCTGCCCCTTATCCTTCTGGATGGAAGTGGTCGTGGGTTTGGAAGGTGCTGCCTGTGGGTCTTTGGTGAGTTTCTGCAGAGCATCTTGTAGGTGGTACACACTGCTGCTACTGAGCGTCGGTGGGGGAGGGAGTGGGATGTTTGTGGATGTGGTGCCAGTTGAGCGGGGGCTGCTTTGTCCTGGATGGTGTCGAACTTCTTGAGTGTTTTTGGAGCTGCCCCCATCCAGGGGCAAGTGGGGAGAATTCCATCACACTCCTGACTTGTGCCTTGTAGATGGTGGGACAGGGTTTGAGGGAGTCAGGAGATGAGTTACTCGCTGCAGGATTCCCAGCCTCTGACCTGCTCTTGTGTTTATGTGGTGAGTCCAGTTAAGTTTCCAGTCAATGGTAGTCCCCAGGATGTTGACACTGGGGGAACTGATTGATGGGAACACCAGTGAATGTCAACAGTGATCTGGTTCGATTGTCTCTTATTAGTGATGGGCATTGCTGGGCATGTGTGTCTGGCACAAATGTCACTTGCCACTGGTCAGCCCAAACCTGGATATTGTCCAGACCTTGCTACATCACAGCAACTGCAGCAGGTCACTGCACCTTCCCCTAGGGTGATCAATACCATGGCCCTAAGAATTACTTAAATCGTGGTAACTGTGGACATGGAACCTTCTGGAGATCTCCAGCTTTGTGAGTGAGCTCTCATCAGCAACAGTGTCTTCCAACGCAGTTCGAAAATCCCGTTTTCTCCCCACACTTTCATGGGATACTGGTGCTGCTGGGTCGATCAGTATTCGCTACCAGTCTGCATCTGCTTCAGAAAGGGGCTGGTGGGGGAGCGGTCTGATATCTGTAACATTTTGGGCTATTTCAGAGGGCACTTAAACCCCACACCCCATTGCTGTGGGTGTGCAGTGACATCTGGATGAAACGCTGAGTTTCAGTTTAGTTAATCACATTTTTAACCCCACCCACTGCCTGCCACAGTGCCACCTGAACCATGGTCACTGGACTCAGAGTTAACACTCTCTCTCTCCTCTGCCGCTGCCAGACCTGCTGAGATCCTCCAGCCAGAATCTGTCTGTGCTATCCTGCAGCATTACTCTCACACCACCACTACGCCTCATCCACAACTGCTAGCTTTCCTCCCAGGGACCTTCTGCACATCCTTTCCTTTTGTTCATTCATGGGATGAGGGCGTTGCTGGCCGGGCCAGCATTTATTGTCCATCCCTAATTGCCCAGAGGGCAGTTAAGAGTCAACCACATCGCTGTGGGTCTGGAGTCACATGTCGGCCAGACCAGGTAAGGATGGCAGTTTCCTTCCCTAAAGGGCATTACTGAACCAGATGGGTTTTTCCTGACAATCGGCAATGGATTCACAGTCATTATTAGACTCTTAATTATAGATATTTTATTGAATTGGTGGGATTCGAACCCGGGTGCCCAGAATATTATCTGGGTCTCTGGATTAACAGTCCAGCGATAATACCACTAGGCCATCACCTCCCCTTAATACCAGACCAGATGCTTTGGTAATCACCTGGAGCTCAGCTTAAATACAGGGCAACACAGTGGTGCACAAAGGTGCCTCACGGCGCCAGGGACGTGGGTTTGATTCCAGCCTCGGGTCACTATCTGTGTGGAGTTCTCCCCATGTCTACGTGGGTTTCCTCCCACAGTCCAGGTTAGGGTGGATTGGCCGTGATAAATTGTCCCGTAGTGCCCAGGGATGTGCAGGTTAGGGTGGATTGGCCACGCTAAATTGTCCCGTAGTGCCCAGGGATGTGCAGGTTAGGGTGGGTTGGCCGTGCTAAATTGTCCCGTAGTGCCCAGGGATGTGTAGGTTAGGGTGGGATTGGTCGTGATAAATCGTCCCATAGTGTCCAGGGATGTGCAGGTTAGGGTGGATTGGCCACGGGAAATTGTCCCGTAGTGCCCAGGTTAGGATGGGTTGGCCGTGGGGAATGCAGGGCTATAGGGATTGGATAGTGGGGGGTCTGGGTGGGATGTACCTCAGAGGGTCAGTGTGGACCCAATGGGCTGAATAGCCTTTTTTCTCCTGCACTGAAGGGATTCTATGAATATGTTGGCATTTCACAGTGAGATTAGAATTTTCCATCATGCTACAAACACGGCAAACAAAGGAAAGTATTGGAGAGTAGGCTGGGTGGGAATAGCAGGGATATTGGGTGGTTGGTAGGGGGTGGTATTGGGCCAGGGATTTGCAGGGGTGGGGTAATTGTGTTATGACTGTGGGGGTGTTGGGGGAGGGGCAGAATAGGAGAGGTCCATGTCTGGCAATGGTGGATATAGGGTCTTGGGGATGTGTTACTGAGGGGTGGGGGCTCACTTTAACAGTGACCTGGGAAAAACAGTGTTGGTCTCGCAGGGTAATGAAATCAGTCAGTCATTCACAGAAACCTGTAAAACCTCCTGATTTAAAACAGACGACACCGGGTAGCTGATGGTTGTGCACAAGAAGAGACCAGCCCCTTGCCATATCTCCCTCAACTGCATTCCACTGAATGATGTACACCAACATCAACAAGATTCAGAACCAATGGTTTAATTCTCTGATTAGCTCAATGCCACATTCCTAGAACAATGCAACACATGTTCCTTCCTTCCTTCCCACTTCAGATCCAATCCCACCCTCGTCCTGAATTTATCCCAACCCCTATTTACAGCTCCCCCCCCACTGCCCCGCACGTTCATCCCAATACACTAACATTCCAGTTATCAGGGAGATGAAGTATTTTAAATCTCTGAACTTGTTGACGTTGTGCGGCCGCAGATTAAGATCGGAGCCAGTCAGCAGCCAACACAAGTTGCTCGGTTCTGCACCGTCTCTACTCTGTGACGGCACCATCATCATCATCGCTCGCTCCTCAGGATGGACTGTAGCTGCCCTGCGCAGCCAGAGAGAGAGAGAGAGCTGGTCAGTCAGAAGCTGGGCTTGTGTTTCTTCACCTCGACCATGAGGTGGTGGATGTTGATAAGGTCGGAACGCACAGGGAGATTCCTGAAAGGAGGTTGGGAGAGCACCTTGTGGAATCGGTGGTAGTACTGGATCAGCTGGGTCAGAGCTCCCTGAAAGTCACAAGTTAAAACAAGTTACTTTCTGACTGATGTGACGTGTAGACTCTAGTGCACTCGACACCATTCGCTGCCTACACAGAGACACAAGTTGGATTCACACACTGGTACCTGTCTGACAAAGACATACACACACCCTCAGAGTTTCAGAGCTCAGTACCAGCACAGAGAGATATCTGAATGACCCTGTGTCTGCTGGCCGTACCCCCTCTATCCCAACACCTCTCCCCCCCCCGCCCCTGACAATACGTATGTGGGGAGTTATTCAGGGTCAGCAATCACAGGGAGGGAACGAACCCCGCAGTGTAACGCACACAGTCAGATCCTGGCTGTACCTGGATGATCCCCGTCCCATTCCTGAAGTTGGTGAAAGACCTCATGACGTCTTGACTGAGATTCTCAACCGCCTGCTTCCAGGTTCCAGCAAATCCTCGCACAAGCTGCACCACCCAGCCTGGCGCAGGAGGCGGGGGGGGGGGGGGAGAGAAGCACAAGGGTGGTGGGGGGGGGGGACGGGGGGGAGGGACGGGGGGGGGGGGGGGGGGTCGCACAGTGAGTGGGAACAGGGTGGCAGACAGAGAGAGAGAGAAAACGGAAAGCAGTGTTACTGTACAAATTAGTCACAGGCACACACACACATCTCCATGGAGAAGAGAACCTGACTGTGCTGAAAGTTACTAAAACACTCTCCTGCTTCAGTCTCTCCAGGGATATCAGATGTGCCTCTCCCTCTAACATTTCCTGAACTTTAGTGTTAAAGTTTGGAACAGGCTCCCTCTACAAGCAAGCGACGTGCTCATAAGACTGTTGGAAAATTCACCCTCATCCTCACAGCCAAGTTTAAAATTGAGAAAGCTGTCATCACTGACCTCACTAATGGGTACAATCTTTTCCTGTTAATCAATCAGAACTCTTCATTAACGATAACCCTTGTCACGCTCCCCCCGTCAAATACAAACTATCTCGGGGTCCCATCTCCCCTGGGGTAACCTGCTCCCTGCAGGATTCTCTGTACCCCACTCCTTACTCACTCTCTCTGTCCCCAGGACATCCTTATACTGGGGATGGCTAAAGGCTGGACCCCCACACAATCACAGTCCAGAACAGACCCTTCGGCCCATTGAGTCTGTGCTCACCATCTACATCAATCCCCCTTTCCCACACTAGGCCTTGAATGCTGTGATACATCAAGTTCTCATCTTTCTTAAAGGTTGTGAGGTTTCCCGCTTCAACTCCCCTCCCAGGCAAGGCATTCCCGAACCCCCACCACCCTCCTCAAATCTCCCTCTAAATCTCCTGCCTTTCACTTTAAGATCATGCCCCCCCACCTTGTTCTGGAACCTTCAAATAAGGGGAACAGCTGGTTTCTATTCACCCTGTCCACGCCCCTCAATCTCACATACCTCTATCAGGTCCCTCCAATAACACTTAGCAGCAGAATTAGGCCATTTGGCCCATCGAGACTGCTCCACCATGGCTGTTATGTTTCTCAACCCCATTCTCCTGCCTGTTCCCTGTAACCCTTGACCCCCTCAGCAATCAAGACCTTATTTCTCTGTCTTAAATACATTCAATGACATGCCCTCCACAGTCCTCTGCGACAGATTCCCCACCCTCTGGCTGAAGAAATTCTAAAGGGTTGTCCCTTCACCCTGAGGCTGTGCCCTCGGGTCCTAGTCCCTCCTACTCGTGGCAATATCATATCCACATCCGCTCTATCCAGGCCTCTCAGCGTTCTGTAGGTTTCAATCAGATCTCCCCCTTATCCTTCTAAACTCCACTGAGTACAGACCCAGAGTCCTCACCCACTCCTCATGTGACAAACCCTTCGTCCCTGGGATCATTCTTGTAAACCTCTTCCAGAACCCCCTCCAAGGCCAGCACATCCTTTCTTAGGGGCCCAAACCCCCTGAGCCTTCTCTGCTCCAAGGAAAAGAACCCGAGCTTATCCGCCCTCTCTCCGTCTCGGAAATGCTGATCGCAGACAGCGTCCTGGTGAACCCCCTCTGCCATCCTCCCTGTGACATGGAGGGCAGAACTGTGCACAAGACTCGAGTAACCAAACTCCTGTACAGCTCCAGCAACAAGCTCCCTGCTCTCAATCTATGCCACAACTCCTCTGGGTAGAAATATTCAGACACCAGCGACACTGTGCCCTTGGCGCTGTCAGCAAAAGACTCTGGGCAAACTGCCCCAGCCTCCGGGAGGCCGGTGGTTTTTCCCACACTGGTGTAGCCGCATGTATAACCCTCACCTTCCTCTGCTTTCAGTTTCTCCAGCTGGCCCTTTTCAATGAGAACCTCTGCTTCCTTCACAAACGCAATCATCCCACCAAACGGAGGCGATAGGATCTCTTCAATAAACTCCTGGAGAGGAACGGACTGAGATTAAAAAATAATAAGAATAACCTCAATCCCCAGTTTAGAAACCCAGCAGGCCGAATAGCCGCCCACAAAGCATCAGCCTCGACACTAAGCTGTTGTTGGCTCACGCTTCCCGATGTTGAATCGCACATCCCTGCATCTTACTGCTCTTCAAATCCCGAGCATTACCCACCCCCCACCCCCAGGCAGATGGCGAAGGATAAGAACTGGGAAAATCCCCGACCCACACTGACCTGTGTCCTGGCTGTGAGCAGCTGCTGGAAACTCTCCACCTCCTTACTGTCGTCTGCTGCCCGCTCCTGAAAAAGGAGATCAGTTCCCGAGATAAGAAACGGACGCAGCGGAGCCATCCGGGACAGACAGACAGAGAGAGAGAGAGAAAGAACCAGACCGGGATCTGGATCGTCAGCTTTCCCACTGAGGAGTGGGATCCTGCAGAACCCTTCCCCATGTTCCCCAGGGGTTACTGCGTATCACTGACCACCCCCCAAACCTGCCTGAAATATAAACAAGCTGACTGTGTCTCCTAGCCCACAACAACACCACCATTTCCACCCCCGCCTCAGCCTGCTGTTGGGGTGGGATGCTCACACTCTCAATGGGGCTGTGGACCCTCAGAATTTAAACTCCCTCTGTCCGTCCGCAGCATGCGCGCGCAAACACACACACACACAGCGCTTCAGTTACAGTCAGGCCTTTGACCCAGCTCTCTCAGTACCCACTGCCTCAGAACTGCAGAGAACCTGCAAACAGACGCATGTCCCACAGTTTGATCCTGGACCAGTCAGTTCTGGGATGTGATTGAGCACAGGGCCCCTTTCCACCTGTCTCTCAATTCTACCCACTCTCCTCCCCATCCCTTCCCCCCACCCCAACCCCTAGCCTCAGCTCAGCCCCACCCATCAGTGATAGGGATGGAAACGTGCCAGACTTTATCCTGGGTTTCTGACCCGCTATGCTAACCACAGAAAAATAGGAGGCCCTTTGGCCCTTCAAGCCTGCTATACCAGTCGACAATCATGGCTGACCATCTAACTCCTGTTCCCACTTTCTCCCCCATCCCGGTTGATCCCTTTAGCCCTAAGAACCACACCTACCTCCTCCTTGAACACATTCAATGTTTTGGCCTCAACCGCTTTCTGTGACAGAGAATTCCACAGGCTCCCTACTCTCTGGGTGAAGACATTTCTCCTCATCTCAGTGCTACCCTGCATCCTTAAAACCATGAGCCCCTGGTTCTGGTCTCCCTGGTCATCAGGAACGTCCTTTCTGTGTTGACCCGGTGTAGACCTTTTAGAATTTTATAAGATTCCGCCATTCATTCTTCTATAACCCGACCGAATGTAGTCCTAACCCATCCGGTCTCTCCTCCACCCGTCAGCCCTGCCATCCCAGGAGCTCCCCCACTACCCAGAGTGCAGAATAAAAACCAGAGCAGAAATCCTCACCATTAAAACACCGAGCATCATGTCATAGTTGTTGATGAGGAATATCAGCTGCTCTCGACGCGATGCAAACTCGGCTGCCATACGCAGGACAAAGTTCTCGACCTCCACCTGGATGGGAGACAGAGAGCCCTGTCACTTCAGCCAGCTTCGTGTAGTCAGCTGTACTCCCCAGACCATCACTCAGGGACAGATTATAATACACGGGTAAAGATAGGGGTGACTCACTTCAGGAAGGTAGCTCATGTCTGAATGACTGTCCAGGAGCAGACAAGAGAAAATGGGTTAAAAGTGACTGCAAGACTAAGCTTCAAAATCTGCGCCCCCACCCCCCCTCCCCACCCCACCGCATCCCAAAACCAGCCCAGCTTGTCCTCTCCTCCCTAACTTGTCCTTCCTCCCACCTACTATCCTCATCCCGCCCCCTTGACCTGTCCGTCCTCCCTGGACTGACCTATCCCCTCCCTAACTCCCCACCCACACTCACCTTTACTGGCTCCATCCCCGCCTCTTTGACCGGTCTGTTTCCTCTCCACCTATCCTCTCCTCTATCCATCTTCTATCCGCCTCCCCCTCTCTCCCTATTTATTTCAGAACCCCCAACCCCTCCCCCATTTCTGAAGGGTCTAGGCCCAAAACGTCAGCCTCTCTGCTCCTCTGATGCTGCTTGGCTCCCCTAAGGGGAAGGGATCCTTCTCAAGTTAACTTTGCTGCGACCAACCGAGGGGGGGCAGAATAACTGGAGGGAGCCAATTTACTACCTCCCCCACCACCCTGCCTCACACCCACAGTCAGCCAGGAACTTAATTCCCTTCTGGAACTGCAACAAACTGGTGCTAACAGGATACCGTGGATTGCGAGACCCCGCTTCTCTTTGCAAAGAGTCCAATAAGCAGCAATCGGCAAATAAATACAACCGCTAACGAGAGACGTGAGGTGGAAATTATTAACTTAACGTGAAGGAGTTCATCTTCAGCATTATTTCACATAGAACTGTGAACACACAGACACACACCATCTCATTCACAATCCTGCCATAAACTGCGAATGGGCAACAGTTTTCTGGTGGAAGGTGTTGCTACCCCAGACCTACAAACTGACCTGTAACTGTCCAAGCAGGCTGTGGGTCTTCTCATTGGGATGTGTTTCATTAATGCTTACGATTGCTGAAGAAAACTCGGCGTATCTTCTTGTTACCTGAAACCATCAAAATCAGGTTATTATAGTTCACTAGGGCACAGTACTCCCCCAGTCCCCAGGTGGGTGCAGTTCTCAACTTCCTCCTCCAGGACAAAGCAGTCCCCGCTCAATTGGCACCACATCCACAAACATCCCACTCCCTCCCCCACCGACGCTCAGTCGCAGCAGTGTGTACCATCTACAAGATGCACTGCAGAGATTCACCAAAGATCCTCAGGCAGCACCTTCCAAACCCACGACCCACTTCCATCCAGAAGGACAAGGGGCAGCAGGTACATGGGAACACCAGCCCCCTGCAAGTTCCCCTCTGAGCCCCTCACCGTCCCGACTTGGAAATATATCGCCATTCCCTCCGTGTCGCTGGGTCAGAATCCTGGAATTCCCTCCCTAAGGGACATTGTGGGTCAACCCACAGCACATGGGCTGCAGCGGTTCAAGAAGGCAGCTCACCCCCACCTTCTCAAGGGGGCAACTAGGGACGGGACAATATATGCTGGGTCCAGCCGGCGACACACACATCCTGGGTAAAATACAAACGGGGCTGGTGTCGAAGCTGGAATCATACTGTCCTTGGCATCTGCTGTAAAGGGCAGGCAGGGCAGAGAGTGCCATGCAACGGTCACAGACTGTCCACCAGGCAATAATGAAGAGGAAGCCTGGCATTTGTTCCCACCAGGCTCACTCACCAACTGGCTGACTGTCCAAAGAGAAGGAAGACAGGGACTGGGGAGCCTGCAGGAGGCTAGGGGGCAGGGCAGGACAGGACAGGGCTGTCAAGGAGTTCAGTGTTGTTCAGTAGCAGTCAGAAGGACCCAGGGTCAGTGGCACTACACGACCCTCCCTTCCATTTCTCTCAGCTCCCCATCTGAACGCAACAGCAAGGGCCTGAGCTCTACAGGAATGTATGAGCTGTATTGTCCAGGGTGAAGCACACCTCCATACATTGTACAAAGTCCTTTAACAGCAGGAAAATACTTAACTGCAAAAGTATCCGACACTGAACCCAATCTCCACTCAGAGAAGATATAGCTATACAAAAGCCTGGCTCGGCCATATCTGGAGTAGTGTGTCCAGTTCTGGTTGCCTCATTACAGGAAAGATGTGGAAGCATTGGAAAAGGTGCAGAGGAGATTTATCAGGATGTTGCCTCGAAAGGAGGGAAGGTCTTACGAGGAAAGGTTGAGAGCGCTAGGGCTTTTCTCTTTAGAACGACGAAGGATGAGAGGTGACTTGATAGAGGTGTACAAAATGATCAGAGGTATAGATAGAGTAGACAGCCAGAGACTTGTTCCTAGGGTGGAGGTAGCAATTACGAGGCGGCATAGTTTTAAAGTGAGTGGAGGTAGATATCGGGGAGACGTCAGAGGCAGGATCTTTACTCAGAGTGGTCGGGGCGCAGAATGCATTGCCGGAGAGGGTAGTGGAGTCGGCTTCATTAGGGGCATTTACGTGGCTATTAGAAAGGCATATGGATGATAGTATAAGGTAGGGGTGGAGGTTAGATAGACCTTAGGTTTAGGGTAAAAGTTCAGCACAGCATCATGGGCCGAAGGGCCTGTACTGTTCTATGTTCTATGCAGAGTTGAAAGGATCGGAGTGAGCTGGCTCCCCCAGAACTGCATCCTTTGTAGCTGACTGTCATAATTGCCGACAAGATAGACAATCGGAAGGTCATGGTTTTTAAACAGATGCCACACAGGAGCAGGGGCTCTGCACTCACATAGTGTGGCCGAGTATCGAGAGCTCCCAGCTTCTGGGGGTCTGTGTTGCGGATGCTCTGAATGTTCAACTCCAGGATGTATTCGAACCTGGGCCAGAGAATTTCCAGCAGGGTTTCCCAGTACCTGAGGGTGACACATGCCATTAAATCAAACAAACTGCCCTCAAAAAAATAAAGGTTACAGAATGCGGTTTTAGAACAGTGCTCGGAAGGGAGAAAAGACAGACTAGCAGCTAAACAGTGCTCCTCAGAGAGCGTGTGAAAGTTTTTTTCAGCATCAGGATGGGATGCAGGCTACCTCTAGTCCCACGAGTAGACCGTGGGTGGCTAGCACTGCTGCCTCACAGCGCCAGGGACCCAGGTTCGATTCCACCCTTGGGCGACTGCGTGGAGTTTGCACATTCTCCCCGTGTCTGTGTGGGTTTCCTCCGGGTGTTCCGGTTCCTCCCACGGTCCAAAGATGTGCAGGTTAGGGTGGATTGGCTGTGCTAAATTACTCCATGGTGCCCAGGGATGAGCAGGCTGGGTAGGTTAGCCGTAGGAAACACAGGGTTACAGGGATAGGGTAGAGCGGTGGGTCTGGGTGGGATGCTCTTCAGAGGGTCAGTGCAGACTTGAAGGGCTGAATGGCTTCTATCTGCACTGTAGGAATTCTAATGATTCTTTGAGATATGTGCCTTCACCTGCTGAGCATCTCTACTTTTAATTTCTTTCCCCAATATTCCCACACTTTGCAAACAGACAACTGTGATATTCTTTGCTATTCATGATGTACATTCCACATTAGATGAACAGTTTCCAGGCCCTTGTTGTTCTCTGGCTCTAAGTCCTTTCCCAGCAGTGACCCTGCGATGGCTATCCCTCACTGCCCAGCTTTTGAGAGTCTCGGCACATTTTCCTGAACTTTGGCACGTGCCAGTTGGAAACACTCAGTTATCGGCAGCTCTTTGTACAGACCACACTGCCTTTCTTCATTCTCTTAGAAAGATGTGGGAGTTGGTGGGGGGGGGTGGGTCACAGTAAGAGTAGCATTTATTGTCCATCTGTGACAATACTAAATCGGTTTAAGAGGTGTATTTTGTCCCGGTTTTATTTTTGAAAAGAGGTTTAAAGACAGATGTGGGGAGCTGTCTATCTGAATCCAATAAAGAGAGACCATGGGGAACATCTTTATTTAAAATGCAGCCTGGCTGAGTGGGGTCAAGCTTCCACAGAACCCAGGATTTTTCAGTTTTCAATAGCGGCTGGGTTTGGAAGCTGCAGTACATCTCTCCCTGCTCCTCTCTCACAGAGTTTTTCCCCTGGGACTAGAGATTAAAAGGTCAGACAATCTATTTTACTGAATTTGCCTTTGGCCCAGGTTGTGTTTATGGGATGTTACTATACTGGAACAGTTTCTGTTCGGTATTTAAATAATCTATTATTCTGTTTTCCCACTTGAGGTAAGTTACTCCAATTCCTTCTTTTTTTTGTTGTATTTTAACTATAGCAGATGAATAAAGTGGGTTTTACCTCAAATCTAGTAGTTTGACCAAACAAATTGCACCTGGAAAGCAACGCCTAGCACTTGCCTTCAAAATAAGAAAAAAAGTTAAGGTCTAGACTATCTTAATATACTTTGAGGGAGTTTGGTCTGGTCCAAAACAAATCCCTAATTGCCCCCTGAACAGAGTGACTCACTCGGCCATTTCAGAGGGCAGTTAGGAGTGAACCCCATTGCTGTGGGTCTGATGTCACGTGTAGTCCAGACTGGGTGAGGGTGGCAGATTTCCCCTCCCTAAAGTGCATTAGTGAACCCAATGAAATCGACGGGAGTGGTGATGGTGCCATCATTCTGTAATCCTGGGGCATGACCCGAGTTTACATTCCACTTGCTGCTGTGGTGGTGCCGGGGCGAGGGGGGGTGGGGAAGGTGGAGGGAGGGGTTTGAACTCACGGCCCCAATCCATTGGCTCAAGTCCTTCGATTTCTGAGGAAGGGCTCCGAGGGAGGGTTACTGGACCCAAAACGTTAACCCTGATTTCTCTCCACAGATGCTGCCAGACCTGCTGAGCTTTTCCGTTTTTGTCCCCAGAATCACTCGTTCAGGGACAGCCCCATTCTCCCACCGAGGTAACAGCCCTCCAGGCACAGTCGATGTTTACCTCTGTGTACAGGCCAGAGAGCACAGAGTCCTGGGTCACACAGCAGCTTCGGATAAACCTTAAAGGGATTCCCACTATTTGGGGGCAGGATGGTGTCGTACGTTCAGATACCGAGGCCCAGGCTCTGGAATTCCTCCAACCCGTCCCAGCCTTGCGTTCGGTCTTCAACGTTCACCCTAAAACTCGCCACTTTGACCATTTTTGTGTCACCTGCCCCACTACCTCCTGACTCGGCTCAGTGTCAAATTTCAATAAGTTCTTGAGGTTGGTTTCCTGTTTCGCAGACGTTTTGTTACCAT